TATCTCCAGAGAAGGAGACTCCACAGCCTTCCTGGGCAGCCTGGGCCAGGGCTCTGTCACCCTCAGAGGGAAGAAGTTCTTCCTCGGGTTCAGACGGAGCTGTAGCTGGTGCCTCTCAGCGCCGGATTCTCGGCCGTGGCACGGGAAGTCTCGCCATCCCGGGTGAAGAGTCACAAAGTCTGTTGAGGATCGGTGGCTAAAACTGGACTGAAAGTGTGCCGATTCTGTGTCGTCTTTGGAAGAAGAAATAGGTCGTAGCTGACAAAAATATACGTAGCTTTTCAGGGTCCCATTGCATCTTCTGAAAAAAAGAAAGTCGTCAAGGAATTGTGAAGGATTTCCTTTAGAATTGCTAGCGTGGTATCACGCACAGAATCATTGTAAAAGAGGATTGAAAATGGCTTCCTACAGTTGACAGATGGCTTTAAAAATTTCTTTTTCAGGTTTGAGCTGATCTTACAAACTGCAGCTATGGTGCAGAAGTATCAATCCCCCGTACGGGTGTATAAACACCCTTTTGAGTTAATTATGGCGCTGTAAGAATTAATTTTTGTGGTGTTTTTCTTCCTTGATGGTTCCTTGTGTTGCTAAGTACTTACTGGGCTCTGTTTGGTAGGTACTGTAGAACATACAAATCTGAAACGGTATACAAAATATGGGAGTTATGTGTTTTGATGGTTTTTTTTCTCTACCCAGAGTATTTTTTTTTACATAACATGTTCTCTTCTACTCCTGAAGTTTAGATATAGTTCACAGATTTTATTTTAAAATTGGAGCAAAAGTTGTCTCAAAGCGTACTTCCCAGTTGATGACTGGGAGCAATCTGTGTTCTAGCATGGGAGAAAGTGTCAAGTACATTGATTAAGAGATTGTTCTGGTTGCGTCTTCATCAGTATAGAGTTTACAGGACCAGAAAGCACAGAGGAAGCCGTGAAAGCATGGATAAACCTGAACGGAAGAGGAGAAAGTGTTCTGAGCATTGGTAATGCTTTGGGGGGAAGGGGAAAAAATATTGCTAGGGAGGCCAGAGAGATGAACAAAAAGCCTCTTGGGTGCATGGTTGCTGATTTGTGCGCTAAGGTTACAAATAGTAACAAAAAATAAAAATCCTAGTTAGGTTCCCTCTTCTTTCTCTCTCTCTCTCCCGCTCTCCCTCCCTTTTTTCTTCTAGAAAACAGAAAGGGAGTAAGTATTTGACATTTTAGAGTGTATTCAGCCAAAACCACAGCTGTGTGGCTCTCATGAGTTACGAAGAGCAGTTGATGAGAGCAGTCATGTCAGCTTCTACCTGATACAACTGGTTAAAACTGAATAATAATCTAAATAGTAATTATTTTGTTTCACTTGCTGAAAATACTGTGTTTAATGGCTTCAGAGGGGAGTTTTAATAGTGTTCACAGTGTAAATATTTAGATAGCTCACATGGTTTGGAGTGCAGACTTCCCTTACAGAAGTGATCCTTTGCGGTCACAGGGCAAAAAAGGGTTAGATTGCTCTACAGGGGATACTTACATTTCTTTTTATCTTGTTCCTCAAACTGCCTCCGGTATTACACACGCAGGTCTTGCTCTTGCGAACACTTCAAGGCAGAGAGTGGTTATTTTCATGAGTGGTGAAGAATCTGACTGCACTGTGTTGAAGAGCTTTTAAAAAGAACCTTACTGCACTGTGACAGCCAGGCTTCAGAGGGTTTCTCAGTTTCTCACATCTGATTGTGTGTGTAACTTTGGCCTTCAGTGAAATATATTGGTTCTTGTTCTTAGATCAGTCAACACAAACGAGTTTCTTAGACAAAATTCTCTGGCTGTTTGCTGAACTGAGGAGTCTTTACTTTGTTGTTGAAATGAAGGCAAAAATTCTTCTTTTAAGTTACTTCCTCAGGGGTATTTTGTGTTAAAATGCTGACATCAGGATTTTTCGAAGTGTTTTATTGGCTGTAATTAGAAACACTTCAGATGATTAATATTAGCTTGGAGTTCTCAAACTGTTCTGTATCTTGGGGATAACATTTGAAGAGTAATCTTTAACAAATATTAAATCTTCTCTTACATGAAAGCGTTTTTCCTCTTTGGAGAGAAATACGCAACTGGGGGGAAAACAATAGCTGAAAAATCAAAACAGTGAACTAAGAGGAGAAGAATGTTTATAAAAAGAAGCAGTCGGCTGAACAGGATGCTTTCTGAGACTGGAAGTTTAGATTAGCGGTAATATGTATGATTTATTTTGTCTGTGTAAGGGCAGCGAGTTATCACTTGAACTTGTTCAGAATGTGATCACTGGATGAACATCCTTCTCCTGCCGTGTCGCTTCTGTTACTGGTTTTTAAAACTGGTAAAATGCCTGGTGGTGATCTATCAAAACTGCTTATGTTTTCTGAAATATTTGGAGGAGTGCCTCCGTGAGCCAAATTATTTAAAGAAATTAAACAGTACATGATAGTTTGATGCTTTTTGTTACTGTTTTCACTTGATTGAATAGTGATTGCAGAAGTTGATGCAGTGTTTCTGGAAGAAATGTTGGAGTCAAATTTTGTGCTCACAGAAGTGGAAGTACTGGGTTACATATTCTCAACAGAGAAGTGCTATAATGTTATTTTAACAGTGCCAGCAGCTCTTCTGAAATGAGGAACACATCCTGTTATGTACCAGGCTTGAATTCAAAGTACCCAACAAAGGACTTCAGCAATAGGTTTTGTTTGACTTTCTCTCTCCACCTCTTTTATTTGCACCCAACCTTTGAGAGAATGTGTCCTTAAATAGAGGTTTAAACCCACGTGCCAGAGATGCTCAGCTGTCAGTAAAAGCTTCTCAAAGAAACCTTTGGTCAGCGTGGCAGCAGTGTTCTTTATGCTGAGCTGTCAAACAACCACCACTGTTTCTAGCCTGGGTCTTGTGGCGTGGGATCTCATCTTTGTCTTAAGGTGCTGAGTACTTTTAAAGCTTTTTGGAGAATCGTCCTCCCATTCTCTGGAGTTTCATGGAACTGGAGAGGTAATTCATTCTGTAGAGTGGTAATGAGGATCACCAGTGTCAGTGAAGCCCATGTGGACTGTAAAGCTTTCCTGGATGATACGTGTTCCAATTGCAAATTGGACCTCATGAAGTCAAACTAATATTTAGCTTTCAGATAGAGAAATCGGCATAAAACTCTTCTTTTCTACAAGCAACCAAGTGAATGCCACTTGCAGAATGGGTCATTTACACTACAAACTTCCTATTTGCCCCCTTTTTCTTTCCTGGGTTTCAAAGAGGTACTTGAGGGAGAATAAAGTACAATCAGCATTCCATTCATGCTGCTCTAGTGTGTTTTGAGAGAACTTTGTTCTCTCTGTGAAGGGTGAGTGCAGCTATATTAAGAGAAAAAATTGGATTTAATTCCACTTTGATCTAAACGGAGATTGACAAGTGTTTTGCAGACAATTATGATATAAAGACTTTTAAAATAGACACAGTGAAAATTCTTTTTCTGAGTTGAATTGGTGTTGAAAGTAGGTTTCTCTCTTATGCTCCTCCACTGAAATTTAAAAATCGTCTGTTGAGCCCTAATGTATCTCTGTGGCAATATACTTTGAGGCACAACCCCTTATCTCCCAAGTCTGTGGGAGAACTGGGGAAGTGCTGTTGTTGGCAGAGAGTTGGGAGATCCATGGCTGCATGCTTCTTGCCTGCCTTCAGCAGTAAAGGCAAGCTATGTAAAATCTAGTATAAGCTAGTTCCCCTGCAGATTGCCTTTTACTGGCGAATTGTGTGGTTCCAGATAATATCTCAGTTGCTTTGAAAACAGTAAGAATTGGATGCAAATCTTGTAATGAAGCTAACTTCTGAACTTGAAAATAGTCAAGAATTGTAGGCTAGAAGTCATCAGGTTTTATTCTGACACGCCTAGCGCAGGCAATATGACTTCACCAAATGGCGTTACCGATACTGACAGGGTACTGACTGTTGGCTGCTTTGTGGCATGTCTGCCATAATCAAGGTCTTGTAAACTCCCTGTGTGTATGTGTGTGTATATATATTTTTTTAAGAAAAAAACAAACCAACAACTTGCACAGCTGCTCATCAGACTGAATAGAATCTCGTCTTGTTGTTCTTCCTGTTCATGTTGAAGTTTACGTAATGCTGGAAGCAGCTGAAATGTGGAAAAATCGCTGTTTGCTTAGACTCACTTGTCAGGTTACCAAGGTGAAATATATTGGAGAAAAACCGAGAAGGTACTTTTATAAAACTTTTAAAGATTATAAATTCAATTTTTTATATTAGCTTAAAGAGGTTTGCATTTAAAGTAATATAGGGACTTTGTCGAAGTAGTAGTTCTTAATGTTATAAGGCACTTAAGAACTTGCATCTTTCTTAACACACGTGAGGCTAAAATTAACTTTGGAGATGCACAGCTCATTTTCAGTCTGGCATGTATTAGATAATTCCCCTTAAGTTTAATTTCCAGAGTAAATTTAAATAATCAGCGACTGTGGCATTCCAAGGGTGGAATTTATGCAAATGGAAAATAAGTAAGATTTTTGGAAAAATAACCCCATGTTGAATTGAACTATTGACCAGAGGGTTTTTTTTTTTTCAGTTTGTGGAAGCTGTGTGGAAAACTTATTGCTCTTCAACCTGTTTAGAAAATGTCCTATTTACAGCCACAAATTACTTAGTTTCAGAAATAAGCATGAATAGTAATGTGACTGAGCACAGCAAGTGTGCTTGAAACCTGTCCTGTTAAATTTAGTCAAATTAACGTAGGTTTTAAAAATTTGTGGCTTTGTGAAAACTGAGATTTTCAAATCTGCCTGTGACAGGAGACAGACTTTCAAAGGTATTTTGCAGTCTTTTGAATACCGAAAATAGTGTTTCCATTTTGTTAAAGTTCCTCTGGCATTTGTCAGCTTCCATTGGTGCCAAACAATTAAGAAACCAGTCATCAATGTCAGCAGCTTGCAGCTGTGGAAATAAAGCATTTGACTTTGATTTTTAAATAAAAATAGCAATTAATCTTGCACTGCCTTAAGGCTGGAAACTACTGCCTTCCAAACTACATATTCTCATCAAAATCCTTTAAAAAAATTGGTCTCGTGTTTTTCCTTTGTTCAGACAGAATATCTAAACTATCTAAAGCATGAATCTTTCTTAGAGAGTGTAATGTGTACTGCCCTTCTGATTATATTGTGATTTTAATGGTTCAGGTTTGCTGCTTTTGGACAACAGGCTGACTGGCTTTCTCTGGTTTTATGGACCTGAAAAAGCCAGTGTTTTAAGGTAAATCCCTGTAATTCAGGGATCCTTTGAATCATGGAGAAGTAATAAGATTGCAGATGGCATAAATACGCTTCAGTGACAGAGTAGATTAGAAAAAATGTATCTATTTTTTTGGAGATTGACAAATCAAAGTATAATCCTTTGATCTAGATTGTAATGAGTTTCCTGATCAGGCAGCACATCATCTTTTCATTTTAAAGGTTATTACTTTAAAATGTCATTAAAAAAACCCCAAACAACTATGTATCAAGTTAAGTGCCACACCTGCTCATAAATCCCTATGGTTTTTATTCCTTC